AAAAAAAAAAAAATTAATAAATAAATAAAAAATCTGCTCGGTTTAACAAGACATCACATATTTAAAAAAAAGCTAGGCTCACTACAACCAGGGGGGACACCGCACTCCTGGCACGTTGTGCCTCGACCTCCTGGTTGGCTTCGAGCTGGTGGCCTCTGAAGGATGCACCCAAAACATTTGCGAGATCTTGCAGAAGTTTTGCACGCATTCGCAAAAGTTCATCTTAATTTTTTTTTCTCCCATGTCCCTTGCGGGGCTCCGTACTCCAGTCCTTGTCACGTTCATACTGTTTCAAAAAAACTGTTCATACTTGCAAATAAACTGTTTTTGTTCTGAGAAAATAATATTACTCACATTCACCAATAGTGAAAAGCTAGATTGTTGCCATATATCTTTCACTTTGATTTGTCAGAGTGCTATTGCTTATCACAAATGAAAAAGACAGCTGTGGGACCAAAGTTTGGCCATGTTTGGCTCAAGTGCGCAGGTTTGACCCTCAGTGTAAACATTAAAGGTCTAATAAAGTGCTGAGTAAGCAGTAAATTACTGTTTACGGGGAATGTTTGTGTGAGGGGATGTTTGTGTAAGCGAGTGAGTTTGCCCTTTAAAAAAACTTTGTGCATAATAACAGTGTCCTTGTTTAAGTTCAAAAGAGCGTTTCAGCTGCTTTGCTGGTATTTTGGTTAGAGGCATCATGGGGAGAACTGTGGTGCAAATCACACTCATAGGACTCCTTTTTGCTTTGGCTTCCACGCTGCCAAACAAGGTAAGTTCAGTAGACCTAAAGGACCAAAAGAGCACTTCAAGGGAACAGAATAGAAGATAATGTAATGTCCTCTGAAGTGAAGAAATACTGACTGTGTGCACATGTTTACTTTATCCTTTGTCTGAGATCAGGGTAAAAAGTGGTCTATTAATTTATTTTAATGTTTAGAGCTTGGCATTTAATAAAGGTGTTGGTCAGTGCTAGGTTAAGGATAAATTGGCCTTTCTGATTATTTGATTAAGTGATTTATTCATATATATATATGTGGGTTTTTTTATAACTTGTAATACTGTCATGTTATTTGGACATTGGAAAGACCTGGAGAGAGTTAGATTTTTTTTCTGTGAAATGTGCCCCCTGTGTTTGCTCAGGATGACTGGGACATCTACAGCTTTCACATCAACTCCACAGTGACCAGTCGTTATGCCACCACTGTCATCACAAGTCGTGTGGCCAATCGTATGGACGAGTCAAAGGAAATTGAATTTCATGTTCGGATCCCCAAGAATGCCTTCATCAGTAAATTTCGAATGTGTGTGAAGTTAAAAGGATCTGTAACGATTCAGACACATTTGCAAATAAAGAATTCTACAATAAAAAACAAATAACAGGTTACTCAGTAGTGTGTGCATTTACACAAGGGCTTTTCTTGGTCCTCTTCAGGTTTATCGATGGCCAGGTTTATGATGGTGTTGTGAAAGCTAAGGAGCAAGCTCAGCAGCAGTACACTGAAGCTGTGTCCCGTGGTGAAAGTGCTGGACTTGTCAGGTATTAACTAAATGATTAAATGATAGGTATTGTACAAATACACTGAGTGTTCCTTTGGATAAAGAAGAAGAAAAAGAAAACATTTTTGTCATTCAAAATTAGTTTGGTCTGTTCTTGTGTTTTCTCTTCTTTCTTCATTTCTCTAAAATAATGTTAATGCGAATAGGAAAATATCTTTAGAGTTAACCTTATTCTCTGCTCAGGTTCAAACTACAGCCATAATTACAATTTAGTGAGATCATTTTTTTCTGCTTTAGTTCTGTAGGGAGGACACTGGAGGAAATGATTAAATTATACATATTGTACAAATACACTGAGTGCTCTTTTGGATAAAAAAGAAGCAAAATAAGGTTGATTCTGTTCATCTGGACGTAGCGTTTTCAGTGGGAGAAATATTTCGTCACTCATCCGCAATCTTATAAACAGTACATTTGCACAATAAAACTAGCCCATTGAATGAACAATGGGCTGTGAGGTCAGTTCCTTGATCATTAATATGCAAATTGTCATGACCATTGATCCACAACCACTGATCAAGGCCCATGAGTACCATTCACAGAGAGTTGGGCGAAAAGACGGCGAAAGATGTACCCTTAGGCCCTCTCCTCAATTCAGAGATAGTCTTTCCCTTTTCACGTGAATGGCCTCCTTGACTCCTCGCTCAAACCAGCTTTCCCCTTGTCCAGAATTTTTACATCCTTGCCTTCTGCTTTGTGCCTTTCGCTTCACCAGAAGTTGTTTAGTTTCCCCGATGTATAAATCATGGCAATCCTCATGGCACTTAGCAGTGTACACTATAATCACTAGGTTTGACTCTCATCATCCACTGGAGCACAAACTGGGTGTTATCGGGATGCTACAACACAAAGCAAACACCATCCCCACAGATGCAGCGGCCAGGGAAGCAGAAGAGCATCACATCAAGAAGGCCCTGAGTAAATGTGGCTATCCCAGCTGGACATTTGCTAAAGCTGGGAAAGCACCTAAAGAAAGCTCCAGCTGATCCAGGAGAGAAGGACAACTGCTGCCTAAGTGAAAACCGTTGGTGATCCCGTGTGTGTCAGGAGTATCAGAATAGTTAAAACACATTTTTTCTAAACATCCCATCTCTGTGGCTTTTAAACCCCAAAACACGCTGCACCAAAAATTGGTCCACCCCAAGGATCAAGTTCCCCGGGGGGCTAAGGTTACATCTTTTGCCATCTTACAATGGTGTAATTGCAGCCATTCCCCAACTCTCTGTGAATGGAACTCATGGCCATTGATCAGTGGTTGTTAATCAATGGTCATGACAATTTAATATTAATGATCAAGGAACTGTCATTCAAAATTAGCTTGTTCTGTTCTGGTTTCTCTTCTTTCTTTTTTTTCTAAAATAATGTTAATTGTGAATAGGAAAACATAATTTGAGTTAATCTTATTCCCTTTTCAAGTTCAAACTACAGCCATAATTACAATTTAGTAAAATGATTATTGTTTCTGCTATAGTTCTGTAGGGAGGACACTGGAGGAATTTAAGACCTCTGTAACTGTGGCTGCTCACAAAAAGGTCACTTTTGAACTCACATATGAGGAACTGATGAAACGCACACATGGCAAGTACGAGCTGCAAATTCATGCTCGACCCATGCAGCCTGTCAGAGACTTCAAGGTGATTGTCTTGTTGGTATCTATTAGTGGAAAATGCTGAGATAACATCACACATGATGAGATCTTTGATTTTATTTTATTGTATTTATTACCAGGTGGATGTGTACATTCACGAAGAAGCCGGCATCAGTTTCATCGATGTGAAAGGAGGCCTGAGCACCAACGCCCTCGCTAATGCCATCACCAAAACACATGCAGATAAACAGGTACTGAAATCTTTTTGTTGTAGAACAGTAAAAAAAATTTATCAGCTTTCTATAAGACAGTTTGAGGTACTAACAGATCATTATTAATTTGCTGTAAGACGCAGCTTGATCGCAGAGTGTAAAACGTATGAATATAAAATGATCAAAATGCACAAATAACCATTATGGTAATGATGATATTTCTTCCAACATTATAGCTCATTTCTCATCATTGTACAGAAGAATTGGGTTGAAAGCAGGGGTATTCAACTAACATTTCTTTAAGCAAAGATCCGGATGATCATAATGTGAAATTATTTCGTTTGCGATCTAGACTGTCAAATCAAATGAAATCAGTACAATTGAAAAACCTTTTGACAAATAATTTGAAAAATAATTCCAAAATGATTATTGGTCACACAACATAGAACTGAACATTGCTTAAAATTCTCATACACCTGTCGAGGTGCACACTGATGATTAGTTTGATTATGTTCACTTTGGACAAAACTGCCTTGCTTTTGTGTGTGGAGCCAAACATTGTCAGGATACACAAGGCTACTTTCCTTAAACCTGAAAAAGTTGTCCCAGGAACCATTTGGGTCCAGAAAGTGGAAAGATCAGTTCTTACAAACTGCTCTTTAAGGCAGTTTATAATTGCCTAAAGCGCAGGTAAAACTGCATGTGTTGTATCTTTTCTTCTTATACTGTCTTTTCAACTTACTACATCTCAACTATTGGCACTGTAGAGACCAGTGTTTATCACCTGGGATCCACAGAGTTGATTGGCTGAGTGGTAATGGGGTGGCTAAACTCACATCCAATGCATTTTCAAAACCTGGACCATGGTCCACCTGTTAATGACATCTGGTTTAATGTTTTGATCCTTGAATACATATCTGTAATTCAATTTTCTTCTAAAGGTTGGGCTTCTCCAACACTCTTTGTATGTAAAGTCATGTTGCGTTAATTTGAGACAAATTAGTAATTCTGACAATGTTTCATTTAGGATTTTTAACAATACAAATATCAGACCAAAACGGAAAGCAGAAAATAAAATCACTGGCATCGCTCTCTTTGAAGTTTCTAAACTCTGCGATTCACTCTGTTTTCAGGCGTGGGTGTATTTCTATCCAACAGCTGACCAACAGAAAATGTGTGACAGCTGTGAAGATCAGGGTATGAATGGAGATCTGGTTATAGTTTATGATGTTAACAGGGATAATGGACTGGGACACATCAAGGTAAACCCTGGTCTTTTAGCAACACAAACCGTATGACTTGGGCTAAAAAGCTTCTTGAATAATCCTATAACCAATCAAGTTTTGTTTTTTGTTTTTTTTTAATAACGCCACCTTAGAAATCTGACGGATACTTTGTTCATCATTTTGCACCATCTGATCTTCCACGGATACCAAAAAATGTCGTCTTTGTTATTGATCAAAGTGGCTCAATGGAGGGCAGAAAAATTGAGCAGGTAAAGTATTTGAAGGGTCTGTTTCTGATATTATTTTATAAATCTTTTCTCTCTTTTTACAGTTTTAATGAAAAGAAAAACAATATGTAGCCATGAATTATGTTTTCTTACCCAGACTAGGACCGCATTAATCCACATTCTGAATGATCTGGCAGAAGATGATCACTTTGGTCTGATCACTTTTGATGACAGAATTTCTTACTGGAAGCGAGAACTCGTTCAGGCAAACAAGAAAAACCTGGAAAGTGCCAAAAACTTTGCACGCAATATTCAAGACAGAGGATGTGAGAAGTTGCAGTAAATACACATTTTGGAATATCAACAGTTGGGAGGGGAATAGCAGTACTGAAAATGTGTTTGTTGTTGTTGCATTTCAGCCACTGACATAAATGAAGCAGTGCTGCAAGGAGCACGTATGCTGAATGCACATAACAGAGAAGGTTCAGCATCTATCCTTATACTTCTTACAGATGGAGACCCAACCTCAGGTTGTAATAAAACACATCTGTAAACAAATGTACACAAATATTTCATGAAACTGAGGTGTTTATGAGCTTATTGTGGTTAACAGTCCTGGTTTATTATGAATAATGAGACTACATTGTTTCTGAGCTGAACTGGGTATGTCTCGTCTCTTTTCAGGGGTGACAAATCTGGAGAAAATCCAGTCAAATGTAAGACAGGCTATTGCAGGCAAATTCCCACTGTACTGTCTCGGTTTTGGTTTTGATGTTAATTTTAATTTCCTTGAGAAAATGTCGCTGCAAAATAACGGTGTGGCACGACGGATTTATGAAGACTCTGATGCTGATTTACAGCTGAAGGTATTTAAATTATGCATGCTCTTCTTTTATGTGATTTGAAACCCCTGAGAATTGAAAGAAAAAATACGAGCATGATTTGTATCACTTCCACACTGTATGTCAACAGGGTTTCTATGAAGAGGTGGCCACACCTCTACTGACAGATGTGACAATGATCTATGTGGGTGGGACCAATCTAACCCAGACTAACTTCAGTCAGTATTATAATGGTTCTGAGATTGTGGTGGCCGGACAGATCACAGATAATAACATTGAAACCTTCACCCCTCAAGTTATGGCCATTTCAGTAAGAATCAATCCACAGGACACATCAGGAGTACTCTTCTTAAACCGTTTTCCCTGTTGACTGACATTACATTGCATTTAATTTATTACAGAGTAATAGAAGAATAATATTCTCTAATCCAAATGAAACCATGGAATCCACTGGAACAGTGTCTGATGACCGTATCCAGAGGGTTTGGGCGTACCTCACAGTTAAACAGCTTCTGGACAAAGAGTGAGTTTGACTTATAGCATCTTTCCTTGTATGACTCTGAAATGTGTTATCAGCTGTTATGTTATGTTTTAAAGTTTCTACCTCTACATCAGTGTCTTCAAAACACTAAACATTTTTTTTATAAATAAAACTGTTTATTTATTTTTTTCTTTGTTTATTTTTCTGATATTTTAAGCATATATAATCATTGAATGCTGTTTAGGATCACATTATATATATACATTATAAGAAAAATCTGGATATATTGAATGGATGTCTGAATATATAGAATTAAATGTAAACATATAGACTGAAACTTGAATGTATAGAATGAAATTTGAATATACAAGGTGTCAGAAAGACAGGTGAACTGCAGCAAGACAATATGTTTTAAGTTTGTTAGATCAAGGCAGCAGGTTGAAATTAAATCCCAAAATTCCAAGTAGAATGGTAAATGGCCTGTATTTGTATAGCGCTTTTACTAGTCCTAGGGACCCCAAAGCGCTTTACACACCCAGTCATCCACCCATTCACACACACATTCACACACTGGTGGAGGCAAGCTACAGTTGTAGCCACAGCTGCCCTGGGGCAGACTGACAGAAGCGAGGCTGCCATATCGCGCCATCGGCCCTTCTGGCCAACACCAGTAGGCGGTAGGTGAAGTGTCTTGCCCAAGGACACAACGACCGAGACTGTCCGAGCCGGGGCTCGAAAGCCCAGAAGTCTGTTAAAGGGACATCAGATAATATGCCTGCAGCAATAAACTGTGTTCTCTTCAGTGTTGGATAGTTTGACATCAACATCTCCATTTCTTACCTTTCTATTAAACAGTCATGTACATCTCCCACATAAAATTATATTAGTACAATTATGTTTGTTCATCATCACTCATCTCCTTAAATTTCAAAAACAACTTTTTTCACATCTTTTTAAAGGCAGAGTTTTTACACTTAATCATAAAAGTATGTTTCTCAGAAGCTAAGGATTTGGACAATATAGACAGCAAGGCTGTCTGTGGTCTGGTAATGGATCTCTATGATTTGGCAAGACTGTATTTTGCCTGTAACAAACAATAGATTGTGTGCTTTTTTATGAACTTTGCTGAATTGACTTTCAGTGAAGAAAATCTCTTAGATACATATTTTAGGACATGGATTCAGCTTAACACCTGTAATGTGTGAAGTTACATACAAAACCATTTTACACTTTGTCACACAGGCTTCAATTATCTGGACCTGAGAAAGAGAAAGTGAAGAAGGAAGCTATGGAGCTGTCACTGAAGTACAGTTTTGTGACCCCTCTCACATCTATGGTGGTCACAAAGCCTCCAGGAGAAAACACAGATGTGCTTCATAAACCAAAGGAAGGTGAAACATCACGGATATGGCAGTCGCCAGGAGGTCAACCCAATTTAGCACACCTTACTCCTGCTAGTGGGGGTTATATTGGGTTGGTTCATTCTGGTGAGCAAATCAAACCAATACAACAACATTCATCAGTTCAGCTGAGGAGACGATTGCTTACAGTACAGAGATGTTCTGTGAATGAAAGAAAGGGAGTATGAAATAGACTGAGTCAAATAGATGTGAGTCAGACAGAAGCAGGATGTAAGATGCAAGCTGAGGCAGCTTAAATTGGGTGGTACAAGTGGCTAGTGGCTAGGTTAGTGTACAGGAACACCTGCCGCATAGAAATGAGAAATCCCCATGGGAGACACCACTAAAGGTGTGTGTGTGCGTGTGTGTGTGTGTGTGTGTTTGTATGTGTGTGTGTGAGCTATTTAAAGATTTAGTTAAGAACTTTAGTGTTTGGGCATGGATGTTAGTAAAAGCATTAATTAAACTCAATTATAAATGAATTAGTTATCCTTATTTATTATTATGTCCCCTGCATTGCCTCCAGCAATATTAACTTTATGTAATGTGTGTAAATGTTTTTTACAGCTGCTGATTTACTTCATGGGTTTAGCTCCTACGATGACGTGCTCTATGACGGTGCAGGTACTGTATTGCATACATGGAATACTTTTTTTGTTCTAAGACAGTCAAAGATTTTTTATTGTCATGCAATGTCAACCAGAGATCTGAAATTTTCTGGTATGTAACTAGTGCTGTTTAAATTATTTGCAGGTTATTTAAAGACTATCCATGTCCCACTTGAAGTAACTGACGGTACTGTATTGCATAGATAGAATACTTTTTTTTTTCTAAGAAAATCAAAGACTTTAAAGAGGGAACTTTGGGGAAAAAAATCCTCAAAAAAAAAAGAAGAAAAGGGGAAAAACAATTTTTGGATAAAATGGTCTTTAGTGCTATGCATGATAAAGTCTCTTACACTTTTATTGGAAAACTTGTATTTATAGGTGAAAATTAAAAAAAAAAAATCTATATCACCATGACACTTTCTTAACTTAAGGCAAGTTTTCTAACATTCTATGACTGCATGGGAAAATTATTATTATTTTTTTAATATAAAAATTGATTTATTTTCAGAATTGTGAAATAGACAAAGTATGTAAAATTAAAGAAGTGTTTTATGTTTACTTTTCCAAAACTCTGGAAAAAAATTCAAAAATACCCAATGCATTAAAAGAGTTGAGTAAGTGTTGATTGCACAGGTCTTTATTTTCAGATTCCAGAGTCTAACTTTTTGTCTCTATACCTCTAGCTCCTCTTCTCCACAGGTTTTTGCTCAACTCAACTGGGAATCAGACTGTTCCACTTTGCTTTGACTTCAGTGGAGCTGTAATCCTTAAACTATTTCACCACCCCAGCAGAGGTCAGTAGTAGTCTTTCTCGTGAGTATTTTCATATTTCTCCCCTAGTGGTTAAAAGAGCAGCATTTCTCTTTTGTTCTAGACCTGTCTGTTAATGGTGAGCTAGATTCAATTGCCAACGGAGGTTTCAGCAAAATTTTTATACACCTCAAAACTCACCAGCATGTTGAGGTTGATGCTGAATCACAGAGGGTCACTGTACGAGATGGACAGACAGTGACATATCAAGCTGCTGGACAGGATCCCTCGACAGTTGGCAGGTGATTTTGCAATATAATGGTCAAAACGTATGTTCTCACAGTATTGTTTACAGACGTGTGCCCTTATTCAGTTCTTTTCCCAGGATTTACATGAGGCAATCAGTATATACATCTCTGATGTCAGTTATATATATGACAAAACATTTGCTGGGAAATGAAACCTTAAAAGGGCAGTTTGGGCCGTTTATAATTTTAATTCTACACTTTTTTGTATGGAGTATTTTGTGAGATTTGGCCAAATCTCACTAATTTAAACATGTCTGCCATAAAATTAAAATAAAAGGTTCATTTCTATCACAACTACAAAGACATCAGTAGCAGTGTATAAGCTTCGTAGCACAATATTTACTTTATATTTTTTTAAATGCTCAAGTTATGTCATTTGCTTTAACCATCCAACACATAAGCTCTCAAGCTGAGATACCCAGAGAAACCAAGAACATGGTGGTGAGGGGTCTCACTCTTTAGCAACAGGAAAGAAAAAGAATCCAACAAAATAATTTCTGGATGCAACAGCAATCCTTCAATATTGGAATATTGTAAGGCAAATATACCAGGACAAAAAAAGTTTTGGATGGGAAAAGCTAGGAACAACTTGCAGAAAGGCCAAAAAATTAATTCTGTTCATCCAATTCAATTCAATTTATACAGCAATAATAGATTCTTTTCATCATCAGTGTTTTCAGTGGCAGAAACGTTTTGTCACTCATCCAAGTGACTCAGTTGACTGCAAGATTCCCAAACCTTATAAATAGTACATTTGCACAATGACTGAAACTAGCACTGAATGAACAATGGGCTGTAAGGTCAGTTTCTTGGCCATTGATATGCAAATTGTCCTGACCATTGATCAACAACCACTGATCGAAGCATCATCTTAAAATGGCCTGCGGAGACAAATGGGATAAGCTTCTTTAGCCATACAACATATGATATCCTTCCATCACCTGTCCCATCCTGTCCCCACTGTTCAGTTCCAGTCAGTCTCAAGCACGTATTAGCTGTGTCCCAATTCAGGGATCGCATCTTTCGAAGGATTCAGCCTCCGCTGTCTACGTAAGCCGGGTCCTTCGAAGGCTGAGAAGGCCAGAAGTCTGAGGCTGTTAAATGGGATTGTCTAGCCTTAGTCGCACTGCTCAGGTTGCCCAGCAACCATGCTTCTAGCCGCTAGAAACGTTTTATAGAGGATTGTTTGACAGAATGAAGGCAAAATTCATCTTTTTCTTGTTTCATGAGGTTTTTTTTATTTGTTAAGTATCTGAGGCTGAGACCACAGGACTTTAAAAACATGATTGTTGGGCTTCATTTCTATACCGAACAATAATTTTAAGATTAGGTAATAAATAACAATTAGTAACAATTAGTAATAACAACTAATGTTGTTCATGAGACTAGTGTCATCTCACACAGTGCCACAGCACTGAACTTGAACTGTGTTTCAAATACTGAGCTTTAATAAAGATTCAAGTTGCATTTATTTATTCCTATCACTTTATATCTTCATTTCAAACACAGTACATCTTTTATAGTGTAAATATAGATGTATTGTATATAAGAGAGATAAATATTGTTTTGTAAATATGTTGGTATTATTAAATTTGTCTGAATGCTTACATATATGGGTAAAAAGAAAATTTATGAGCTGGGATAACTGTCTGTTTGTGATAAAATGGAAAAATGAAAATGTAGACGAATATATCAAATATTCCCTAATATAAACATGTTTTACTGCCTTCATAGTTTTTAACTTGAAGGCCTTGAATACTTTTTCTGACACTAAAAACACTTGAATGATAAAATTATTTTAACATTACCTAATAAGACTGATAATTAGGACAGACAATTGGTTATTTTAAACATTTCTAGCAGTCCTTCACAAAGAGGGAACACTCTCTCACCTGGTGCTGGCTCTTCCTCCTCCTCTTTGGGGTCCTTAGGGACTAAGTAAAGTGCTATACAAATACAGGCCATTTACCATTTACCTCTTCCTCAGACTCTGCTTAGTTTGTCCTGGTGGATCATCAGGGGTGCAAAACCTCACAGATGATCTGCAGCAGTGGGTTCCTCAGTCTGTCCTCACTCTGGCGACTTGCAGTTCTCAAACATGGAAATCAAATGTGCAATAAGCTGTAGGATTCAAACACACTTGTAACTTATGCTTATTATTTTATTTAACAATCAGAGAGAAAGAAAAAGAGAGAGAAGGGAAAAGTGCAGGACAGACAGAAAGGTGAAAGTCTCAGGTGGCAAACACTACTAAAAAACAGCAACAGAGAATGAGTATTTTCTGTTTGTTATATAAGGAGTACTAAATAAGATAAGATACCTTTATTAGTCCCACAAGGGGAAATTTCATGTTAAGGCTGCCGGCCCAGTTGGTACATTGGCCACATGTTTGGCTCCTATGATTAAAGCACCGTGTTTTTTTAGCTTAACAAGTGAACCGTTGGCACTAACATCACTAATGTCACATGACGTTGCCACCATGTGGCCAACAGTAATGTTTTAATGTTCTTCGTTATTAAAACAGTTGCATCGCCGCATAAATAAGTGATATAAAACTCAATAGTTAATTTTTTAAAATTTACTCAACCGTTGGCCATTTGTTCGAAAAAAACAAACAAAAACTATCCACCGCTGTGCTATGAATCCTGGGATATGCTGGGCCTGACCACCTGACCCATCCTTCAAATTGGGGGAACGCATTTGTGGGCCGCATTTGGAGCAGTCCTCAAATTGGGACAGCCTTCGTCACCTGGCTGGGACGTAATCGGCCTTCAAATGCGGCCTCCGAAGGATGCAGCCCCTGTATTGGGACACAGCTACTGATTGCTTGTAATACCAGTCTGACACATAGCAGATACAACTTACACACCACCAGGTATTGAGATGCCTGGCAGCTGCACTAGAGCACATGCACATGCAGATTTCCCAGAGGTTTGGAGGGCAGGCCTGTAGGACAATCATCAAAACACTGTCAGGGATGCATGCATGTATGCAGATCTATACAGAAACACCCAAGTGAAGATACATAAGTGACGATTATCAATCTTACATCGAGTAGCAGGAAATCCAAAGGTGTGTGCTGATATTTTGGGATTGTAATATATATAAAGTTTTCATTAATTTCACGAATTTTTTTTACAACCAATGCTTGAATCAAAGGCCCTGCACACTCACGGTTAACCACAAAAAGTGGCTTGACTTCTTTTCAATGACACTAGCTTTTGTCAAGCTTAGAAAAGTTTCTATTACCGTATCATTGCCTTGTTGTATCTTCCAGGTAGAAGCAAGTTTGTTGTATTACATGGAGTTGTGACATTGTGAAATGTCTATTTCAGCCCTCAGTCGGACAGTAGTCAGCCAAGACTAGTGAAATGATCTGTGAAGGTTTTTAAAATCTTCAAAGAGCTTTAAAATATTCATATAAAGTCCATATTTTTCCAGTGTGACAGTGATTGTGCGCGACACCGAAATTCACATTGCATCTGATGACATTCTCCTGGTCATCTCACAACATGAGAAAAATGGCCAAAGACTCCTTTGGCCTGTTTTAAGACAGCAACCCTCAACCAACGACATCGAAGGACTTTTAGGTGAGTGAAACGACATGCATGCACATACTTTGTTCATTGCTTAAGAAATAAATGAATTTGTCAGTGTCATGTTAAGAATATTAACAAAGTTTGCACCGAGCATAAGTGGTTTCTGTAAAAGTATCTTGTTGCTGTGTCTGTTTTGTTATCTGGTTTTCAGTGTCAGTTCTTGTTTCATTGTTTTACTCCCTTTTTCCAGCTGTAAAGCCAGCAGTGTATGAGGTGGTGCAGCAAGTTCCTGTCACAAAACTAAAGATTAAAAACCAAGAGATAGATGTTACAAGGTAATTTTATGTAATGTTTTCAGTTTCTTCATTCAAAACATAAAACTGTTTAAGATTCCACCAAGACATGAGCTTTTTTTTGCTTTTGTAGTGACAACGCTACTGACTACAGCGTCGACCCTCCTGTCACAAAGAACTGCTGGCTTATGTCTGCTGACTCTGCCCTGCAGAGGCCACTGGCAGGTTTTTTCGTGGCACAACTTTAAGTGTGAACTATGCTGAATTACTAGAAAATATTTGGTTTAAAAGTAGAGAAAACATTTTCTTACTGTGGAAAATGTCCTTCCACTTGTTCAAATGAACAAATAAAGTATCCCAGATTGCAAAATGGCTCATGTCTACATAATTTTATTAAAGAAAGAAAGAAAATAAAGAAATAAGGATTTGGAGGTTGTGGTGCCAAAATAATACATCTAACCATGTGAATTCTAATGAAACGATTACACAGAAAAACACCACTGTGTTACTTCAGTGAAGCTTCTAATCTGACCCAAAT